CTTCTTGCGACCCTGTTGACTATTTTGAATGAAACGCTTGATTGTTCGATGATCACGCTTCAGAAGCTTGGCAATTTTAAGAGTGCTGCATCCCTCTGCAAGATATCTCACTATTTTTGACTTTTCTGAGCCTGTCAAGTCCCTCTTCTGACCCATTTTGCCAAAGGAAAGGAAGTTGCCTAATAATTATGCACACCTGATATAGGGTGTTGATGTCATTAGACCACACCCCTTCTCATTACAGAGATGCACATCACCTGATATGCTTAATTGGTAGTGGGCTTTTGAGCCTATACAGCTTGGAGTAAGACAATGTGCATAAAGAGGATGATGTGGTCAAAATACTCATTTGCCTAATAATTCTGCACTCCCTGTATTGATATAAAACAAGACAAACAACAACAGGTACATTCAGGTGTGTTACATCTGTTTTTATTATTATTATTATTATGACTAATCCAAAAGATGGAATTGTTAATATGGAAATATGTTAAGAAAAATGTGCAAAAGCATAACCCAGGTTAACATGTTAGTTTTGGTCTTGGCTTAATAACAAATAACTATTTACAACTTAGAAGGCCACTTCTACTGTATAGACACCTGTCTGATGATCCACGTTGAAAAAGTGTAACAAACAAACCTGGACTAAAGACTGATGATGGTTATGTTACTGTTGATTTTATACTTTAGCATAGCTTTGCTTTTAACACTGCAGGATTCTAAAGTATGCTCTAAAGGGGGGTTTCATCCAGACACAAGAGCTCCCCCTGGTCATCAAGACTGTGTGTGATGGTTTCACTGGTTACTTATTTGCTTGGGATTTTATTCAAGAGAACTGGGACACGCTAATTGAAAAGTGAGTGTTTCCTTTCTGGCTGTAAAAAATTCTCCTAAGGATTCAAATTTGATACAAAGTGTTAATGCTGAGGTTTATTTTTGCTGCAGGTTTCCTCTGGGTTCATTTTCAATCCAGGCAATCATCAAATTTGCAACTTCCCAGTTTTCCACACAGGCACACTTAAATCAAGTATGTGTTTTTCCATTGTCAATTCGATATCAAGTCTGATCTGGCTAAAAACTCAATAAGTGTGTGTGTGTGTGTGTTTAGGTCCAGGGTTTCTTCTCCAGTCTGAAAGAGCGAGGCTCTCAGATGAGGAGTGTACAGGAAGCTTTAGAAACCATCAGGCTAAATCAGCGCTGGATGAATGACAACCTGCCGGTTCTCCATAAATGGCTGTAATGCAGTCACTCCACCTTGTCACTGGTTCATTAGACATAAGTAGAATGTATGGAAACTACAGAAGGACTCTGTCTGTATGTCAGAGGTTGACCGTGACCTGGTTGATTTTTCTGGGACAGGTGCTGTAAGTTACCTGCTCAGGATGTGATTGTATGTTTGACTGTGAGTTGTCATAAGCTTTCTATTTCCACTAAGTGGTGCCGTTGTTTGTGGTAAGTTGCCAAATTACCCAACTGCACACATACACCCTACAATTAACATTGTATTACAATTAACATTGTTCAGCATTGTTTCAAAACGAACCGTGCTGAGCTGAAATGCTCCACCTGGTGGAAACAATGCTATATCCTCAGGCGTAAAGTTCTGATATACTGAAAGCTGTCGACCAAACTCTCTCTCTCTCTCTCTCTCTCTCTCCTCTGCTCACCATATGGTCCTTAGTGCAGACAATCAGGCTGCCCCATACATGTTACTCTCAGCTCACACTCAGGCACATCCATCATAGGAGCTGAGAAATGAAGAATGTCACTGTATTTGTGCTGTCATCAGTCAGTCAGTCAGTTGAATGGGGAGTGATTTAACGTGAACAGGTAAAAATAACAACTTGACATACAGTATGTAAGGTTTAAACAAAGTAACCTGCTATGCTTGTAAACACAACAGTGAAACAATGGCACTAAGTCCTGTCATAAGCTACTATATACAGATACAGACACACCGTAAGATTCAGCATACCTTATTGTCTATAAGTATTTTAAGAGAGTATACTTTGAAGTACCAGTACATGTTTTATTATACCAAAGAATAGGCCCTTTCTCATTTATATGAGAAATCGATGGTTCAAACAGGAGATAATTTAAAAGACAGACTTTGAAGCGTTAACTAAGTCTGTATGTCGGATGTTATGACCTCTGCAACACTGTATGTTCATTACAAACATTTGATTACAGTGTTTACTGTCTGTAAATCTTCTGCTTAACATAAAGCATATATGACTTTGGTGACGTTTTTGGCTGAAAGAAAGCTTGAATGATTGATGGCTTAATGTACCAAACAGGTCACACACACAGACTTTAATGTAGTAACTCAACCCTTCCCACTGTGTACAATAGATGGCGCACTGCGCACATAGCAGTGCAGGTCGAGAGCAACGGCGGGTATGAACAACAGTGCACATGTAAGCCATTTTTTGCCGCTGTCTTTTTTGAAGTGGGAGTCTTTCTTTTGTTTTGTTTTGTTTTTTTAAGCAGAAATGACTCTTGATTGCTATTTCTGTGACTGTCACTGTAGACTCGTTCTTTACCTCTTCCTCTCTGTAAACTTGTAATTATGTAAATACACTCCTGTCTTCTACTCATCCCCTGCTATTTTTGCATTTGCCCATTTAAAATGTTTGTTTTATGTTGCGTGTGTATATGTATTTATATATTGTAAAGGAGAAGTGTACAGAATATCATGGTAAGATATTTTTAATTTCATGTCCTGACTTGAAAAGCACCACAGGGCAGTACATCACCCAAGAATGTTTCTGTTTTAAGGGCTAATGTGCAGACAACAGACACGTATTTATAAAAGAACACGTGTTTTGGCCATTATGAGTCTTTATGTAGTATAGCAGCTGTTAAAGTCCACAACATCCAACGTGTTACTCCGTTGTGAAGCCACCACTGTCTCTGGTTACAACAAACATTGCTTTTTATTATTGCTCATAGATGCTGTTTAACCACAGCTGTACACTCTTCAGCTTCAATGACTTGATCACTTGTGTTGCTGTAAATATTTAGTTTTTATTTAACAGTCCTCATAATTGTACCTTGTTTTTAAAGCCTTCATGAGACATCGGAAAAGTCTTTGAATAAAGGCGCTTCATCACCGTGTCCAACAGGACGCCGACTCCTGAGTGCTGAAGGTGACAGCTGGATGTTTGTTGTTCCAGTGTTTAATAAATATATTGTTGAAGCCATATGAGACTACTGGTTGACCACACTCCCACTTTGTTCATTCACACATTTTGGTTCTGTTTTTTCTTTCTTTAGAGTAAAAAGTGTATAACATGCTAATTTCCTGGTTTCTTTATCTTATTTGCTCTGTTGTACAAAATTCAATTTTAATTCTACATACTTTCAGCTACGAGGAATCATGTTTTGTTTTATTGCATAGTTTATTTAAAAACATCTGATCTGGGATCAGGGTTCAGCCACAAAAGTTAAAGAAAGAATGATAAAAGAAGGATATACGCAGAATGATAGGCAGAATTTTTGTACAGTCTTCATGTAGAATTAAACTGATGAGACTGACTTTATTCAATACATAGGGATGCCAAAAAATACTGCATATGCTTTTAAATGATTTGCTCCACTTGTAAACAAGTATAAATAAATACATTTTCTGAAAACACTTTTTAAATTTTCTTTAGCCGTCCATGATTTCTGTCCAGTTTTCAACATGTTAATATACAGACTTCAGTAATGGGTGGTCGGTGTGAATGTGGCAGTGGTTCTTTTTGTCTTTGTCTCAAATTTGTAAAATATGATTGTAACTCCAACCTGCTGCACTGGTTAGTCAGTCAACACGCCTGACAGTTGTTTTACAATCTCGTAAAATTATATAAAGAAACGAAAATGCTTCCATTGTTTGCCATCTCTGAAGAATTTTCAATAGACGATACAATAGTTTGTTTATTTATTTAGGATATTCCTACTTCTTAATGTCTATCAATTAGCCTGTTTGAATATGTGAAGTCTATTAAAAATATCTAATTTAAACATACATTAAAAGAGTGTAGAGCTATGAACAGCTTTTAGTAATATCTTTTTGAGGAAATATTCTTCCATTCTTGTATAACAAATTTATTGGTTAGAAAGCAAAGAGTGAAAAAAAAACCATAACATCGCAGTAGATCGCATGACTTTTCAGCCTTTATTTGTCAAAAATCCGGAACACATTTTTAGATGCAGATTGGTGGTGATTAAAAAAAAGAGTTTTTAAAGGCTTTCAGATCAACCCGTATGTTGACGAGTGGGCGATGCCGCCAGTCCACATCTCATGCGTCACCCATAAGTTCATACATCAATTCATCCATCACATCATCACCCCATCTCACAACCTTTCTAAGGCACTCCAGAAACATTTCAACTATGCAGAGACTCCACACAGTCAGGTCATCCGTGGCAGTGCCAGCAGCTAGAAATGTAGAAAAGGAACAGTGTTTTTTAGGTCTGCAATGATTTAAAGTATTTTAATAATCTATTTTATGTTTTTGAATGTACATTTTAAACTTACATTACAAAGGATTAAAGGAATTCCAAATAATTCTGGTTATAAATCCAGTCCGAATGCTTTAGATCATTAGGTGGTTTTACACTATAGCACCACATGTAAAAAATAAAATAGACAAAAACAATAATCACTGTAACTGTAATTGAGGGTCTTTTTATATTCACTGTGTATGTTTTACCAGTGTGTGCATGCAGCTCGAAGATCAAACTTACTGCTCACTCTGACTTGCGATAGACTGGTGAACAGAAATAATATAGATCCACAAGGTAATTTTTTACCTTTAATTTTTTTCTACAAATCAAGGGTCCTGGCAGTGGGGGTCAAGTTGCAGGAGTGGCAGGTGGTGACGCAATGTGGCTGCACATTTTTTGTTATTGTTATTTTAAGACTACGTTTTTTTATATTAAAGAAAACCAACAACAATACATACGTATATAAAATGAAATTTCCATTTTGACATACATGAAAATAAATACTTAAATAAAATAAAAAATCCAAAACAAACACATCAGAAGGCTGGTAAGAGAAACATTTTCTATTTAATATCCTAGAATCTAAGATCTCAGGAATTCCAAAATGACTTACATGATAAGCTTAATGCGTCAACAGTGAAATTTAAAGAGTCTTTTTCTGGCCAGCAGCCTATCAGTTCATCATTGGCATGATCCTTTACACGTGTCCTCGTGATCCTGGAAAGTATTATATGTTGCTGTGGAAGATGAATGAATGGACAACTGCTATGAAGTACTGAAGTTTTTTTCAGACATGTTCACGAGCAGGTAGAATGAACCCTAAAGATCAGCTAGCTTGACCAAAAACGTTTGTTTATTTGAAAATAATCTTTTGCTTAGGTTGTTGTTGTTTATATTTATCAAGTGAACTTGTGATTGTTTAAAAATATAACTATATGGTGACCAGGGATGTCTGTGTTGACAGAGGGCACTACTCAAACCTATCCAGCAACCTGTTACTAATGACCTTTCTGCATAACCAGCTGCATGTACAGTTGGTCAGCCAGTGGCCTGGGTAGTTAATTTAAGTGGTGTCAATAGTTGGAGGTATTTAACATCAGGGGATGAAGACAGGAGCAAGACTAACTGTAAGATTTGTGTGTTTTGATAGGACACACACTCTCTCAGTTCAACAGCACAGTGGACCGATGAGATTGTTGTTTCACCAACATTGTGTTCATTTGTTTATTCATGGAAACATTGCTATACAGTTTGTGAAAGATGTTTTGAGATGTGCACAAATGTTGACATTTGTTTTTGTTTGGATCGAAACAACCTTCTGGTAATGAGTAGTCTGTGTTCGGTTCACTCCTGGACACTGCACATCACATCACCAGTTTTCCCACAAGAATATAACACTGTGTTCAAGATTATTGGTGATTTAAAACCCAACACAAGAATTATCAGTGATGGTACTGTGTACCGGCAAGTACACAAGGGGAAATATTTAAATTTAATACAAGTCACGGTGAAATGACAATAAAGAAGGCTTGATCAGGTTTTGTGCACTTAATGAAAATTAAAAGGACTGGTTTAGTTTCTCTTCATCCAAGATTCTTCTCTTGGTAGATTAATGGTAATTATTGCCCTTACACAGAACAGCATTTGGATAAGATGACATTAAGACTGAGAACTTTCACAGAGAAATTAATAACAAAAGGCTGAGTTTAAACGGACTTGACACTGTAATCCGGGTGACAGTGTTATAAAAAGTGACCTGATGTAAACCATCAACCTCAGGTTGTTGACACTTTTACAAAAGTGGCTTCACTGCGTCACCGTGCTAACTCATCCGTGGAGACTTTCGTGCATATCACAGTTTATCGAAAACGTGTAACTGGCAAGTTTAGGTAGACTGCATTCTTTGCAGATGCTTTGGTCAGATACGGACATGTTCCAGTCGCAGAAACAATTCACTGATAAGACAGTTAACCAGGTGATGAACTTTTAGAGTTTACCTACGTTACATCTTACCAGAGGGATAGGCTAGCTCCAGATGAACAATAACCAGGTGATAAAGGTTGATGGTATTAATTATGCCTTGGTGTTGTTTTGGTTCTAAGGTATGGACCAGGGTTAAAGATTAGTTAAATTACAGTAGACAACACAGCCCTTAGTACCTCACGAAGCTTATGTCAGTTCATCTAAACTTTTGAACTTGATACATTTTTTGAGAGTTCAAAATATACAAAAAGAAAAATCTATCTATTAATCTACCAAGTAATTTTTAAATGTTAGAAAGTTGTCATAAGCCTAACTGTCCAGAGATCATAAAGCCGAGTCCAGTTATTTTTGGTATTCTGCCAAACTCCAAGAGAGGGGTACGTTGTTGTCATGAAATAAACTTTTAGCTGTCCACAGAAAGTAGGTTATACAGTCTGTGATTAAAAAAATGAATTTGGGTTTTTCCGTGATGCCTTGGGTGGTATATGGGGCTTTGGTTTTGGTGTTCTACTGGATTCAGTTAGTAAGAGCTGCGTTAACTGTTGTCATAGCAAGGTAAGCCTGCCTTTTCCTGCTTACTACTGTGGTGGTTTTTTACTGCATGGGGCAGTGGTGGCTTAGAGCTTAAGGAAGCGGACTTGGGTCCAGAAGGCTTCAGGTTCAGGTTCAGGTCCACCAGCTGCCAAGTCACCACTGAGGTGCTCTGAGCATGGCACCGTCCCCACTCACTGCTCCCTGGGTGCTTGAAAGCTGCCCACTGTTCACTTTGGTGATGGGTTAAAAGCAGAGGTCACATTTGGTTGTGTGTCACAATGTCACAATGAAAAGTAGTTCACTTTCCTTCCTTTTTTTCCTTTGTTCTTACTGTACAGCTGTGTGCCTATTCTACAGCAGGGGATTGGGGGTAGCTGAGCGTCTTCAGGTTTAAGGTTGGCATGTATGGATCGTCCTCAGTGGATTCATCAGTGAGTGTGTCAGGCAGTAAATAAAAACTATGTCTTTGTTATTATTCTGTTAATGTCTTCAAACTGGACTTTTACACAACAGGACCATGTTGTATAGTTCTTGTACTAATTTTATTGTGAGCATTTAAAGACACCTTTATCTTTGTAAGAAAATACAGCCAACACTTCATTCATTAGAAACATCACATTAATAACCATTGCGCGATTGTAAGAGAGGATTAACAAAAAACAAAAAACAAAACAAAAATTATGACATAAAAAGCTATAGAAACATACAATTCCCTTTAAATCCAGGCTTAGACTGCAGAAGAAAATACTTGGAGAGCCTTTAGCCAAGCTTATTTGCGTTAACTGACGAAGCCACAGAGGTTTCTTTTCATTTACTGTTCATTTATATGTCTATGCAGCTTCTTTGTGGATATGTATTCCCCACATATAGTTTTATCATAATCGTTGAAAGAAAACCATAAAAAAACAATACCATGAAGAAAACCATACAGTCTTTTTACTTTTAAAAGTTTGATCCAATAGAATCAGAGTGTGCGACATCAGATTCACAAGACCACGGAAAAAACATTTCTGAGGAAACGACGATGTGCGCCGGTTCCGATTCCGATTCCAGAACTAATGATTGGAAAAGCAGCCCACGAAGAACGCTGGGAGACAGATGTTCAGCGAATGCAACTTTTCGACATTGATAAGACTTTTGAAGCATAACAGTGAAGATGTCTTCTAGCGTCTTCCGAGCACGATCCCGGTCCAGTATTTTTTGGTTGGATGTTGATTGAACTTGTACATTTTGGAAGGATCTGCGCAATCTCTCTTTTCAGCAGACGAACAGACGTTGTATGTGTGTACGTGTGTCTGGTTGTTCGTTAGCATCTTGTTTGTTTAACTAGTTTGCCCATACATGTGTCCAAGTTAAATTACCAGCTGTATTTTCTTTTCTTTTCTTTTCTCTTGTTGCCCCTAATTCTGACGGAGTAATGTCACACAAAGTTAATTATTGGAAAAATATGTATTAATACAAAAAGTGTGTCAAACATGGACATGTTGATACAAAATACACATTGATTGAGGAGTAGTTCAACGATAAGACTGTAGTGCACAAAGTGTTAGACAGATTCAGCGATGGAGATGTCCATTATGCCCGTTGGTCCATGGTTTTCTTCTTCCTCTGCTTCTTTTTCAGTACTCTCAGATATTTCATCATTTTTACCCTCTACTGCCTCCAGCTCAGCTCTTCCTTCCTCTGCTCTTTCAAGCTCAAGTCTCAACTGTTCCTTCTCATTGAGCACTAGTTCTTCCTCCCTCTTTTTCTGCTCCTCTTTGGCCTTTTCCCTCTTCTCTTCTTTCTTCATCTTCCAGAAGAAGCCCAGGTTTTTCTCAGGGTAGGTGACTTTGGCCAGTGGGAGCTTGAAGATCTTGTTGGTCTCTGTTGTTAGGTGGAGGAACGTCAGGGCAGAAAGACAGAAAGGCCAGGTACAGGCCGGCAGACCAAACTATCAAAGAAATATTTTATGTTAATAATCTGATTTTCTGAATAGCTAAATAAATGTGTTCTGAGGATGCAGTAGGACAAACATGACAACTTACTGTTGCCATTATGTTGGCAATGGCTGAGCCCAGGTATGCGCAAAAGAAAGCTGCAGAGGGTAAAATTATAGTATTGTTAAGTCTGTGTTCCTGCTGTGGTGTATATAACTTAACTTATAACATAAATATGTATTCTAATTCTTTCTGTTCCACACGATTGCCTAACATATCACCAAATGACTCACCACACGTCAAGGCAAGCAGGTGCACCTGCCAGGTCAGCGCATAAAACATTCCTCCTATAGCGATGCAGGCTAACACACAGTTGTACCCCCAGAGGCCGAAGTATATGTTTTCAAAAGGAGCTGCCAGAGCCAGACCTGCAAGATTAAGAAGAAAGTTTTCCTTCATATTACCTATTTATTTAACTCTCTCAGGCAGGTGGTAAAAAAGTACTTTGGTGAAAATATTGATGGATTATGAAAATGATATGGAAGGTGGCAGTAATGCAATAAATATGCTGCTAGTGATCATCAACACTGAAATGGTTTTGTTAAAAGTTTAAGAAACTTGGGCAACAATGTGTCTTTTTGCCACATGTTTTCGTCCTATTAGCGTACAGCAGGTAGACACAGTATGATTCCTAAATCAAAAGACTTGTCCGTCTCTTTCTGTTCACTGAATCAAGCTCGCTGAACCCATGCAGTGTTTTACCTGAGGCTAATTTTCGGAAACCAGATAACTGCAATAAATGCTGATAGCTAAAAACTAATCTTCTGACTTTCAAACACGAATATTTTTGAGTTTGTAATAAAGAAAAGGCACAGCCAGAAGTGGGGAACATTTTCAGTAGGGGAGGTAAGAAAGTGTGTGTGATCGTGTGGGGTTGTGGGTGGGGGTATGTGTGTTTGTGGGTTTAGGTTAACACCTGAAACCATGCCGACTGCAGACCCCAGAACAGCATGAGCACATGTGATGGGTGAAGAGATGAAGAGTGCAATGATGAAGATTCCTCCAGTCCAGGGATTGTCACAGCCGTAGACTTGACCTATTCCTACAGGCACTGACATGAACAGCTACAGACAAGACAGACAGGTTCAACCTTACAGTTAACAGTTAACAACCCCATGAGACCTTTTATTTGAGCTGGAGTTGATTGTACAGCTCGGCTGACATTACAGATTCCTATAGCTAGCGATAACAACAGTACATGTTTCTGTACGTCTCAGCAGGCACAACAATACCTGCTGAGACTCACACACTTGAATTTGAACACTCAACCAGAGCTGACCTTGGGTAGATTGATATCATCCCAGGTGATGTTTGGCAGCTCTGAGCGAGGCTGAATAAGGACCTGAGGGAAGTGATGGTTGTAGTGGCCAGTGGCGACCATGTGAAGGCAAACCAGGATGTTGAAGGGCAGAGTGAACACTGGAAGATCCCACCGACTGTTAATAGACGCGATTGCACTTGACAAGATGGGGCTGTAACACAGAAATGCACCATCACATGGTTAGGTTTAATCCTAATTGTTTGGATATATTTTTGGACGAGTACGACGTCAGTCTTAAAGCTTAAACCAACAGGAATTTAAATTAGTTGACTTTTTATGGTTTATCATTGTTTTCACATGTAGCTTTCATTTCATATAATGGTGTAGGCTGCAAACTCACCACATCATGGACATGAAGATGTTGGGCAGCAGAAGCCACCAGTACCAGTCCCCAGCATTTGAGAAAACAGCCATTAACAGACCCACTAAGATACCATTGTATCCATACAGCCCTGCAGCAATTGCACCCCTAAAGAAAAACATGGTTTTCTCCTTTAATACAAATTTTCCATTCCAAGTTGTCCATGTAAAGAAAATGCAATTAAAAGGATTTAAAGATTCAAAGCCAACATATTGTGGTACTGAGAGGTAGCATATGCTGGTACATGTTTTAGCTAGAGTCAGACCCAGAACAAGAGGAAAGTGGGTGTTTCATAGTGATTAGTAGTTAAGTTTGCTACGACGACATTACTTATATGTTAACTGTAGACGAGGCAAAGCTGTACGGCCCCACTGGCTTTTTCCACTGTGTTGTTACAGTTGATAATCCAGCGACTCACACGTCTTTACTGAATATTTTTTGTATTGATTTGTAGTTTGACTAGTATACGCTCGTGGTGCAGATGTTGTGTATTCACACACACACTAGGAGCTCTGCAGCCACCTAGTGTGTGTGTGTGTGTGTGTGTGTGTGGGTGGGGGGGTATTCAATCTTAAGGGCTTGTTTTGAGACCTATTTCCAAATATTGTCAGATATAAAACTTGGTTATTTTGACTACTTAGTTGTCAAAAATCTGACAAAATTAATTATGCACAACATGTCCACATTTCAATTGCAGACGGCTAGTTTTTTTTTTTTTTGTTTTTAGTTTAAATTACAATTATTCCGATGATTTGGTTATTACTGTGTAGTTTAGATGACTAAACAAGCTGGTCAAGGGTTATCAGGGGATGTCCAGACCTGTTTTGTTGCAGAATCAGAGCAGATAAGGTGGCAAAGAGTGTTCCCACGAAGCCGTTAAGGGCCCACCAGTAGTTCTGTAGTATAAGGCCTGCAAATATGATGAGGCCACTCAGGGGGTTGTTGACAAACATGACCTGGGCTGCTCCACGCAGAACCCAGTCCAGGAGCTGGAACAAGATGAACTGTTCTAAAAGAAGCAAAGAGTGTCAACTGAGCGATGGCTCACATTTCCTTAGAACCATTTTGCAAACTACTGTACCCTGGGAATTTAGGGTTTGTGGTTTAATCTCTTCTCTTTCTTTGTTGTGGATCAAAGAAAGGGAAGCATTTGTTGGAATTGACAGTTTTACATACTTTCCATCCATTTTCCAAACACTGGCATGTCTCCAGCGAAATACAAGACTCCCCTTCTGAACCGTGCCCTGGCCCTCTGCATGGTTGTGGGTCCTGCAGGTTCATTTTTGTTGTCTTGAGTCTCAGATAAAGGAAGTGGTTGCATCATCAGTGGCTGGAGTTCCTGGAGTATTAGAATTCATGAATGCACATGCATAGAAAAATGTATAGAGATGTGTGCAACCTTACACATCCCAGAACTGGAAAAGTAAGTTAAGAAAGGAAACCGTGACAAAAACAACCTGTCATGTATATGAATGTGTTACCTACATGAGGTATAGGGGCGTGCTGTTGTTGAGTGGTATAATTTCCTACGCTGCAAGAGGGTGGAGCATGTACTGCTCTCCAGGTTGAGATGTTGCTGGAGAGCACACAATTAGCCCTGCTGAGAATTCCTACGTGAAACATTATTTTCACCCCAACTGGGTAAGTTGAGACCTGAACTTGTTCATTGGCAAGCCAGCATAGCCAGCATAGAGCGAAGGAGGAACCAGCAACGAGGTATAAATCTACCGGAAATCCAAGCTGCTCAGTTGTGTGTCTGATTAGTGACACTTGCTTCAATGTGGAGCGCAGAGGGAGACACAAACAAAAACACTGGCGCTCTGACCACAATACTGTATCTCACCATTTCCCACTGCCATGGGGCAGCAATGTAACCTCAATTTGGAAAATCAGATCTTTTTTCATTGGTTTTAGTGAACATAGAAACAGCTTCAGATCATAAATATAAACACTTCTTTCTCATCTATGGTAGAAAATGAAACCACAGACTTTCTCTTGACTAAAACCAGCCCCTCATTAAATAAATGTTCTATCGTCATTGTGCATTCGACTATTGTTTGCTCTCGGACATCATTCTTTATGTGGATGCTTCAGACATTGCTCTGTGTCCCCTTGGTTCTGGGCATGTTTTGTCACTGCCAAGTGCTCTGAGGACAGAAGGAGTTTTGCATTTCAGACAGAAAATACTGTTGTTTTAAAAGAACACAAATCCAACCTTTTCAAAACATTAACCATGTTTTGTTTGAAAATAAGGCTGTTGGAGACCTGCAATATTAAGTGGTCAGATGACAACCAATTCCTCCTAACCTGTCACTGACTTTAACCAGAGGCACTTTGGCTCAGAGGCAATGTCTCTCTGAAATTCTTAAAATCCTTGCATGACGAGTGGCCTTTTCTGTTCCTCAGCATACTGTATTGCCAACATGAACTTTGCATGTAGAATATTTGTTCTACAGCATGTCTCTCTACAGTCTGTGTAATGTCTTTAATGTATGTGTGAGAGAATTGTTTCTGCTGATCGTACAAGAAAGTGCAGAGAAAAGTCAGCAGGGGATGCAGGCAGTACTCTGCCTTACCTCAGGGGGGGCGTTTGAAGGTCACAATTAAATTTGTGCTGCACTCATCTCTATTCTTTAATTTGTTCACAGTAAATATGAATGATGATGATGATGGAAAAGGGACAAAGCCGAAAGAAAAAGAAGAATATGAATGGATAGATGAATGAATGTTTAGGAATTAAAGTTATAGATAGATTTGTTCAACAAATTCATGTACATTTTCAGTACAACTTTAAAAGCATTTCTGTTAAACTGTTTTCTTTTTAAGAGCTCTGGAGCACTGTATGTCCACCAGTTGTCTTAAGTTGTAAAAGTTTGATTCATTTAATTTACACCACAGCGAGTTAAAAGCACTTCATATTGTTGAAATGTTTACTTTTGTGAAGAAGAAAACAGTTCCAGTACCAGTTGTGGTCTGTTGAGGTGCAATAAATAAAACCTCTGTTCAGATACCTGTCTTTTCTACTCTACACTTTTAAACTTAAAAAAGAGTAAGTAACACAGTTATAGTTACTTTCACTGCTAAGTAGTTACTTCTGTAGTGGAATAACTCAATTTCTAACTCGTTTTTTTTTTGGGAGAAGTAACTAGTAACTATAACTAATTACTTTTTCAAAGTAACGTGCCTAACACTGTACCATTGCATTTAAGGTTTTTCATTGTTTTCACTGTGAGGTCCGTCTCAACCCTTTTAGGAGGTTAGAAGACGCATTAATGCTTCGATTTAAGCAATCTGCTACAGATGCATCAGAGGAGCTGGTCTCTTCAGACTGCTCAAATCTGTGGGACTTTCTCAGATATATTGAAATACATCCATACCACAGACATGTTGGCACTATCAGACAAAGCCCGTTCTGGCTGCAGTTTTTGCTTTCGTCATCATAACTTCCTATTTTGGCTGTTTTGTTTCAGGGATAAAAGTCTTTCAGCCAAAAACCGAAAATGCAATTTTGGGCCATTTTCTGCCAAAAATGTTTGGTGTCCAAATATTAGGTGCTTCTTTCACCTCCTGAACTGTGATTCATTTTCCCTTTTTTCATTACACTTATCCATAATCTTTAATTTTATTCTCTTCCTACATAATTATTACATAACTATTGATTACACTTACCTAGCTCTACCTCGCTCTCTCTTTTTTAACCTTGACTTTCCCATAATAATAATACATTTTATTTCATAGGCGCCTTTCTGTCTTTCACCCAAGGACACCTTACAGTGAATACAAAGATAACAACACAGCATTAAAAAACAAACAAACATTAAAACATTAAGAACAAGTTGAAATACAACAGTGGAATATCAGACGGAGAAGGCAATTTTTAACAAATGAGTTTTAAGTGCAGACTTGAATTGTCGGAGTGAATATTTCCATGTTAAATGCAGCAAGGCCGGATGGTATGAGACATAAACTCGACTTAGTGCCGGACGGGTTTTATTTAAAAAATTATATATATATATACAGTATATTAGTGTGAATCTAAAATGTAAGTCCTGACTTACAGCGAAGGTGAGATCTGAAGAGCTGGTGACTGGTGAAGAGGAGGAAGAGCAGTTGATATTCTTCTGAATATCCTGTTAAAAAAGAGAAGTGGAGAAAAAAAATCCAAATTAGTGCTGACAGGTATCTGTCCTACACATCTTGACGTTGTACTGGACACACTACCTGTGTAGAGTGTAATCCAGGCATATGTCCCAGAATAGACCAACGCTTTACGGTTGTCTTCCTTCCAAAGCCCAGTCTCCCTCCAGCCCTGCAGACACTTTTATACAGAACACCACTGAGATAACCCCACCTACCTCTAACTGTCCTCCCATCCTGCTCTCTATCTCTCTCTCTCTCAGTCTGTCTCTCAGTCTGTATCTGTCTGTCTGTCTGTCTGTCTGTCTGTCTGTCTGTCTGTCTGTCTGTCTGTCTGTCTGTCTGTCTGTCTGTCTGTCTGTCTGTCTGTCTGTCTGTCTGTCTGTCTGTCTGTCAATTACGTCTGACAAGTGGAAGTTGTGGCCAACCCCTGGACCACAACATCCCTGCTCCCCCTTTCTTAACAGGTGTGGTGGCCCCATCTCTGGACTGCAGGCAGGTCACACCATCCAAGATTAAATACCAAAAACATCCTCCTATAGGAGTCCAAGTGAAAATGATGGTTTGCATTACAGGGAGTGCAGAATTATTAGGCAAATGAGTATTTTGACCACATCATCCTCTTTATGCACATTGTCTTACTCCAAGCTGTATAGGCTCAAAAGCCCACTACCAATTAAGCATATCAGGTGATGTGCATCTCTGTAATGAGAAGGGGTGTGGTCTAATGACATCAACACCCTATATCAGGTGTGCATAATTATTAGGCAACTTCCTTTCCTTTGGCAAAATGGGTCAGAAGAGGGACTTGACAGGCTCAGAAAAGTCAAAAATAGTGAGATATCTTGCAGAGGGATGCAGCACTCTTAAAATTGCCAAGCTTCT